AGCAACGTTAGCTTTTATGCCAGTAAATTGTGGGGAGTGGATAACTCTCTGTCCTTATCACAAGCAGGTCATCAGGCAGTCCCTATGTAAGGACTGGACTGGTTTGAAGTTTCTTCCAAGTATTAGTGTTTGTTTCCCCATCCCACTGTCATTTTTAATATAGAGTATGACTAGTTCCTATCATTTCTTTTACAGATAATTATTGTTGTCATATAAATGTGCTTTTTATCATACTTAACAGAGAGAGAGAGAGAAAATATAAATAGAAAGAGTGCGTAGCCTGCTAAAAACTTTAAATTAAAATGCTACCTAGCTATGCCAGGTGTAGTGGCTCTCGCCTATAATCCCAGCACTTTGGAAGGCCAAGGCAGGAGGATTGCTTGAGCCCAGGAGTTTGAGACCAGCCTGGACAAAAATTGGCAAGGAGACTCTGTCTCTGCAAAAAAATTAAAAATTAGCATGCACCTGTAGTCCCAGCTACTCCGGAGGCTGAGGCCAGGAGTTCAAGCAGTGAGCTATAATCACACCAGTGCACTCTAGCCTGGATGACAGAGCAAGATCCCATCTCTAAAAAATAGATAAAATAAAATGCTACCTATCCATTGGTGAGCCTGGTCCTCCAGTGAGGATAGGTGAGTAGACTGTACTATATGTCGAAATTAAAGTGCTGACCAGTTAAGGCAATAATCATTTCGTTGGTTAATTTAATTTAGTTATTTTGTTATTGCACATTCTTGCTCTGGTTTTATTAATTTAATTATGATTTATATCACAGTTCTAGGGTGTACTCTCATATGATTCATTTGTGTGTGTGTGTATCTGAGGACATATGCAAAGGCCATGTAAACACCCAGCTGTGTTTGTCCTGCCTTTAAAATGATTTTTCCTTCCAATTTCTCCTGCCCCCTTGTTTGTTGCCAAGCATCAGGAGAGGCAGTGGCAACCACAAACTGACACAGTTCTCCCAACTTCGAGTGATACCAGTTCTCCTGCCCCATGCTCTGAGAGTCTGCCACTGAACCCATTTCAAATCATAGCTTTGAAGTAAGGAGTTGGAACATTAAGTTTCCCTGTTAATAGTTTTCAAAAGGAGAGGTCCTCAGTGTGCTTCGTAAAAATATATAGAATATATCAGAAGTCTAAACTTAGCCATTCTCCTGCAGGTCATTACGTAGCAATTCATATAATTTTTTTTTTTTTTTTTTTGAGACAGAGTCTTACTCTGTTGCCCTGGCTAGAGTGAGTGCCGTGGCGTTAGCCTAGCTCACAGCAACCTCAAACTCCTGGGCTCAAGCGATCCTCCTGCCTCAGCCTCCTGAGTAGCTGGGATTACAGGCATGCGCCACCATGCCCGGCTAATTTTTTCTATGTGTTTTTAGTTGTCCGATTAATTTCTTTCTATTTTTAGTAGAGACGGGGTCTCGCTCTTGCTCAGGCTGGTCTCGAACTCCTGAGCTCAAACAAGCCGCCCGCCTCGGCCTCCCAGAGTGCTAGGATTACAGGCGTGAGCCACTGCGCCCAGCCCAATTCATATAATTTTTAGGAAATCAAACGGTAACCCTTTTAACAGAGACCTTAAGTCATACAAAGCTCTTGAACATTATTACGTCTAGTGTGCGTATGTGTTTGAGTATGTTTATTTCTGGCACTCCTGTTGGAACTGGCTTCCAAAAGAGGCAATTCCGTCAGCATGTATGTCCATTGTTTTTAATCACTTGCTAATCACTTTTTAAATGCAGTATAAATGGGCGTTTATTAACGTTGAGAATATTTATTCATCTATACCCATTCTTCTTCCAAAAAGGATCTAAGGAGACTCACAAAGATAACAATAATACAAGAAAAACTAAAATTTAAAAAGAGGGGGAAATCAGGGAAAAGGGAATTAGTGGCAGGAAAGTGAGATGAAGCTGTTTGGCTATTACAAGAAATAGTGAGGCTCTCACACTTCTGCCTAAGGTTGGCTATAAAAGTGTGCCTGTGCTTTCCAGCACAGATGTACAGAATAAACACAGACAATGTACACCTGTTCCCGGCACAGAGCACTTCTAGTGTCATTAGGCTTTTGTTCTCAGAGGTGTTCTGATTTGTAGAGGATAAGGTGTTTGAGAGTAGAGTTGGCAGCAAAAATATTGACCTCTTTTACTGGACCATGACCCTGAAAGATGGACAGTAGAGCTAGTATACAAACAAAATCCCCACGGAAATGTGACGGCTGGGAAACAAAGTTCACAGATACGATTTCTGGCAAAAACACCATATATATATTTACCAAACAGTGAAATTCGAAGAAGACAAAGAGCACATGAGTTAGTGACGTTAAAGAGCAAACCTGCTGTGGAGACACACTCCAAACCTGCCGGTCTGGTAGAACCAGTGGTGTGGCTACAAACTGGGGTGTGTACAGCCCTATGCAGAAGATGCTCGTGTTCTGGCTGGTTCCTCTACGACTTCGGTGGGGAAGGTGGGCTCCAGGGGCTCAAGCAGCTCAGGTGCCTCGGCAGCCTTCTCAGCTTCCTCGTTAAAGTAAAAAAACACGTGTTCTTCATTGAAACCTGTATTTAAAAAAAGCAACAATAAAGTTTACTGTCTAATCCAATGGTGCCAATTTTTGTTTATTACATGATTTGAAGGAGATCGTCTTCAGAACCGTGCAGGTGTGTTGTATCACCATCAGAAAGGATTCCAGAACCATTTAGAACTGGGCCTCTCTTTGATAGTGCATAAATTGTGCAGTACGTGTGTTCTGTTCAATGTGCATTGTACTCTAATGAAATATTTTGGAACATTTGATGCACGGTGGACTTTGGGCAGAAGTTTAGCAGAAAAGGATAAGAAGAAGAAGAACTAGAGGAAAGGCCAGTACTGCACATGAATACAAACCGCTGCCAACTAACTGCTCCGTGGTGAATGACGGCAGACCGGCAGACTTGCCTGTTGCAGGCAGGTCCGTGTAAGTAATGATGGTATTTTAGTGGCTGAGCTTTTGCCAAGATTTCCTGCTCAAAAGTGAAAGTGAAGGGATTTGTCTTTAACATTTATTCACCACTGCCGATGTCAGAGGAATTCTCGTTAACCCGTTAATCCATTCCAGAATGCTGAGGCAGGTGTGCTATCACCAGAGAGGGGCTGGGCCTCTGATCACTAGAGTCCTTTTGATGCCCGGAAGCAGCTGTTTCCCTTGTGGTAAAGTCTGGCTGGAAATGTGATATAGGTCATTTAAGGAATCTAAGGCCTCTACAAGTCAGGATGATGTAAAAAATAATCATATGGTATTGACTGCCCTTATATGACTCAGAAATAGTCTCCCATCTTCATTTTCTATGAATCTTAAGGGTGCGTTTCAAGATCCCTACATATGTTAAACATGACAAGTTTGTAATCCTCTCTTTAAATGTCTCTACATGCTGTGCTATTGGCCATTATAATCAGTAATACAAAAAATTGCGTATTTGAAGTGTTTCTCTCCAGTTAACCAGTGCTTCTAACCATACAAATTTATAAAGGTTTGATTTCATCAGTGATTTGTTCATTTCTCTTGAGACCTTAGCCTTGCCAAGGTACAATGTTAACATGCTGCCTACTTGTTTTAAGTAAAACAAGTTGTCTCCAAGAACCATCAGGAAAACATCTGCCTTTAACTTGCATGAGCTGTGCAGAGAAACCTTAAGTATAATTTGGACCATAACAAAAGCGAGGCTTGGAGATTCCGATCAATTAATTCTATTGAAAAGCATCACGCAGCCTATTCAGCAAGAAAAAGGGCGAGAGTTTTAAACATTCAGGTAAATAGATAATCCATTAGGACAACAATGTACATTGTGGCAAGTGCCATCCTAGTTTTGTCAGCACTTATTTATGGTCTTTGGATTCCCTTGCCCTCCTGCGGAGGGACTTCTATTCCCCCTCCTCCAGTCTTTGTTCTCTTATTCATGGCTAAGTGAAAACAAAGCAAGAAACAGTGCATACCCAGTGTTCCACTCTGGACAAGTTCTTCCTCTATAGTAAGAAGGCGGTTGTATTTGGTCACCCGTTCACCACGAGAAAGACCCCCCAACTTGATAAACCGGACACCAAGCCCAACAGCCTGTAAAGGGGAAAACAACTTATTTTAAATGGTGGAGTCGTGTCTTGCTGAACTACACAGTTCTTTAAGGAGAAAGGAAACTGTCAGGGTGTGCTGTTCGAATTTTTCTCTTCTAACTTAGTATTTTATCTTTACGTAAGCAAAGTGGCCTGCTCACAAGCCGAGAGTGTTGAAAGGCAAACAGATGGTGTGACTGACTATCCATCAGGCGCTTTACTAGCCATATAAGCATGCCGATTTCATCTAAGAACATTCTGGCCTTTCTCACTGCATTTTAGGAGGGAAGATTGCAAGTGAACACCCCAGTCATTTAAGTGTGCTCATCATTTTCTCTGGACTTCAATTTTTCTTCTTTTTAAAAGTTCAAAGATTAGCTCTTTGCAAAAGGTAGCTGTCTGGTAGGAAGCAAATCTATTTCATAAAAGGTTACATGACTTTCTCCACCAAAGACTGCATTTCTCTGAAATACCAATTCATGATAAAAGCAGTGTTTTGGCAATTCTGCAGTTGACCAGCGTCCAGCACTTACCAAATCGACAAGGCTGTCATCAGAGGATTCTCCTTCTGTGCTTCCAAAGATGATGTGCTTCTTACCTGTAAGAGGAATTCCTTTCAGTTTTATATGGTGTAGAAACAATTAGCATAAATATACGAGCCCCGGGATCAAAATTAAAAATTTTCCAGAGATTTAAAACTTTCCTGTGAAGAGTCAATTACTCAACCATCATGAATTTTAACATTGCATTTTTATTGCCTTGGTTTTATCTGTTTACCCCTCTTTCCAGCAGCTTAGATGCTATAAGTACTAAACAAATACCATGTTTCATGAAATATAAGATAAATTGTAAGATGGACCATTATCTTATTGCCACTTAAAAAGGCAGAAATGCTCAAATGAGATTAATTTATAAGACCACAACTGTAAGACATGATTCAGTTTTGGTGCTGTTCAATGTAGAAAAATGTTTATCTCTGAGTCAATGAAATATGGTAAGAGCAATGTACGTGGAGTTGATAGGCCTACATAATGGCTTTCTCGCTTTATCGTGTCGAATTTTATTCAGAAGACTCTGTCATTCTGAATGTTTATTAGAATAGCCGTGTTGGTAGTATTTAATCATTTGAGGGTCTCAAAATTCTGTGAAATATTCTAGTCTATGAAGAATGCCAGCCAGAGCTTTTCCTATAGTGACAGTGTTCATGTTTTAAGGAGCTACAGCAGCACTCTGAAGTGAAGGACGGAATGGCTGCTGACTGGTAGGCCCAGGGGGAAAGGCCAGACTGGGGCCTACCATCTACCACCCACCTGGGCATTTCCTTCCATCCTCTGGCACCAGCCCAGGCCCCTGGATGCCAGTCTGGCTCTGAGTCCTGCTGCAGGTCTGAGACTAGCCTCCTGCCTACTTCCTGAAACCCATTCGTGGTGTTTCGGTTTCCAGCACTGTGCACAGTGTGCAAGATGCCCATGAATTCAAGAGAATTTACAGTCTAGTGGGACATACCAGCCATTAAATAACTGTACGAGTCATTGTGGTCAGTGCTGCAATGGAAAAATACAGGATGCTATGAGGAAGGTTCAGGGCAGGGGACGCATGTGCACCTGAAGACATTTCATTTGAGTCAAGACCTGAAGGGTGAGGAGTAGTTAGCTAAGTAAACAGCACAGGGCAAAGCATTCTAGGCCAAAGGAAGAGCATGTTCAAGGACTGTGAGGGAGTCAAGGGTTTGAAACTTAAGGAATTAAAAAAGCTAGCATGGGCACGTGGGATCACTATAGTGTCGTGGGAAAGTTACCTGAACTCTCCAAGCCTCGTTTTCTCATCAGTAAAGTGGAAATGGCAGTGTCTGCTTCATAGGGTTGCTGTAAGGAGTAAGTCCAGTTCTCAAATGCTTACCCCTTGGTGCTAAGCAAAGCTGCTCTCCTCTGGCATACTGGACCCGCCAGCATCGAAGCCCTGCTTTTCACCTGTCATCCCCTGATCCCCGATGCTGGGATCCTGCCTCTGAATCCCAGCTCAGTGGCTAAGGCCCTGCTTACCAGAAGCTTCCCTGATGCTCCCCTGCCTTGCTGATCTGCTTGGCAGCTTCCTAGTGCTGCCCATTAGTAGAGAACCTGCCCCTCCTTCAGGTCTCTGCACTGACAAAACTGCCTGCTTTTTCTGATCGGATCTTCTTGTTGCCTGTTTCTTTAACTGCTGAAGTAGACCCTTTCCCTGCAGTGGGTGATCTAGTTTCAAATTCTGATCCCTCCTAGACTTTCCCAAGCAGTGCAAATTAAAATGGCCCCTGGTGTCTGGATATATTGCAAGTGGCTAAGTTTATTTTCAGTCAAGTAATTGCTACACCCTACCATGTACCTGGGCTGTGCCTGTGTGGAAGGAAGAAAGAGCTGTAGTCCCTGTTAAGATGCTGAGGAGACGAATCTAGAGCATAAAGTGATAGTAAATAATAGGAGGGAATTTACAATACTGCAGCCACGTGGAGCAGGCTGCTCCTTGGCTGTGCTTGACACCTTGCCTCTGTGCATGGTAAACTGTTTTCCTTAGCTTGCACGCTACATTGTGTCTGGAAACCTGGCTAGGGCAGATGGGTACCCAGGTGTTCTTTAGCAGTAAAGGTTGGAGTATCCCTCTGAGTTTCTCTAAATTTAAAACTTTTCTGTGGCTAAAGCTCAGAACCAAAAGGGAATTGATAAATATGCTGAAGAATATGCCCTTTCAGAAGAAATCAGGCTCAGTGCTCCTGTCAGGGGCAGAAAGGCCCTCCCCACTGTGAAGGGGACAGGGCAGTGGCCTTGGCCATACCTCTGTGGTAGCCCTCCATAAAGGGGTTGACCTCGTGGACTTGGGCTGTTAGTGGAACATTGTGAAAAGGGTCACTAAGCTGAATTTTGTTTTCCAGCCCTAAATCTCTCACAAGTGGTTGGATTTTCTTCCAAGATTTCTTCCATGCCTTTTATTAACTTTGATATACTGCATATTTTTGCCTTCTTGTGTAACTGAGTCATTAGATGAGTCTTTCAGATCTCTACTGTTACTCACTGTCAGCAAGATTGGTTATTTCCACCAAGTCAGACATCGTAGTTTGATTTGTATGTTTTATGATCAGCCCGTTGGATTTGGGGATGTTGATGTTTCCATGCTCTAGAAGTTTAGAAATGCTTTTGGATGCAGTCCCTGCAATTATGTAACACCTGGAACCAAGTGCATTATAGATGCTGTCCCACTGTTCAGAGTCCTGGGTAAATATTTAAGAATTGATCATTATAATGTATTGAACATAATCACAAAACAACATGACTAATAGAGCACATAATCAAAGTCATACACTCTTCCTGAGATACACAAAACAGCTTTCTTTTACCTCTACGCCTGAATGATCCCTGTACCGCATCCACACAAATTAACAAGCTTCGTGGAACAGAAACCTAAAGTGATTAAATTTGAACTTAAAGATTTTGTGAGTAAAATGTTAATACACTAAATGCTATTCCCCACATTGATTGCGGAGGCTATTCCCATGCACCGTATTATCCATAATGTTGCTAAAGACTGGATGGATGGATTTTTCTGTTATTTCTGATAAACTGAAAAAGAAAAGAGCCTGCAAGAGCTCTAGGCCCTTTCTCTGCATCCTCATTTTTATGGGTGAGACTACCACATGAAGTGAGATGCTTATTTTAAAATTATATGTGTGTACGTTTGTACATGTATTTGTGTGCGTGTATGCATACATACAGTCATCCCAGCCATTGCCCCGATTTCAGCCTGTCCCATTAGAACAGACCACACAGGTGCATCCTGTCCTGTTTAAAAAGCTGTGGTCAGAGGCTCAGAACAATCATCGCAAGGCCGTTCTGGCGGGACTGAAGAGCTGAGCTCGGCGGGTGCCTTCGGTGAGTGCTGGCGTGGAGCATGGAATGTAAAAGGGAGGGTGGGACTGAGAGACCCTGGGGCTCCGAGTGAGATCCAGCATTCATATTGTCCCCAGAGTCTAAATAGTTATCTCAAAGAGGACATCTGTGCAGCGTATCCAATGGCTATCACATTCATACAATCAAGATTTTAAATTTTGGTGTTAGTTTTAAGTGGATTAGGAGGAGAGGTGAGTACTTAAAACCTTGTCAAATGCATTAGTTTGACTAGATCACAAAACCTCAGTATCTCAAACCTTTTACAAATATGGCTTTGTTACTTTTATGCATATGTAGTGACTGGATTTAAGTTAAAAAACATTTGGCCTTGCAGAAGTCCTGTTTCCCTGAGCACATGAAAATGGTATATGATTAACCTATTGAAGCTCCAGCTAGCACAGCGGGGGCGGCTTCCACCAGTTAGGCTGCTTGTAAATACACAGGTACTCCCGAACGGCTTGCGAATAGCTTGGTTCATTCTCCAGACAGGCGCACTCCTAGGTAATTGTGTTTCTGCTATTCATTTGCTTACTAAGTGCCTTTTCTCATAAATGCCAAAATAAAGCGACTCAGCCCCAGCCCAAATTACAACACATTTCGAATGACAGAGATCCAAAAGAATGAGATTTTATTTTGTGTTTTGTTATAAAACATGAAAAGTGAATCCTGCCCGTCTTACACAAAATATATGTTATAAAATATAAAAGATGAGTCCTGCTCACCTCCTTCCTGAAAGGATCGATTAAGGCAATGATTGAAGGGTACTTGGTGATCAGCTCCACATACAGGTCAACCATCTCAGCTGCACTTTTGTATGTGCCCATCATCACTTCATACTTCCCTTTACTCTGGCATGTGGAAGGGAAGTATTAAAATAAAGGATAAATAATGAATTCTTAAAATGTTAAAGATGCGATTCAGATTCCTTTTCGTTCATTTCACGTAAGAGATTGTAAACAGATTCTTTGCAGGCCACATTCACCGGGGACATCTACGCATTCTCCTTTAAATACCTACTAGATATTAACCTGGGAAAGTCAAGTCACCATTCCTCTTGATGCCCCACAGGGCTGTTTCCATCAACTTCAGAGGAAGCTTCTCACTCAGAAAAGGAATGGGGAAAGAGTAGGAGGGGAATAGTTTATTTAGGTTTGCAGTGTGGTGCCAGACACCTGGCTGCCTGGGTAGATGGACAATAGCATAAATTCATACAATAACAAAATAGCAATGCAAGCCTGCCTACTCGGCCCCACCACCTTTCAACTCATAATGGACAAGTAACTTGTTGCCTTTACTGTAACTTATTCTAAAATTTAATAGCAGGGCTAGGCATTTGAGATACTAACAACCAGTATGAAATGTAAAGTGAAGGCATTTCTCAGGTAGCATGTAACTTCTAGTGGTAACAGTATTAACCCCCATTCATTTGAAGTCTGGAAATCCCCTGCACGTCATTAAGTATAGAAGTAAACAGGGCTGAAGCATCTAGTTCAATCTTTTTGCAAAACAAAGCACCCTTACTTTCAAGCCTGTGTTCAGGGATGGCACCTGGGATATTTAGGTACAGGGAAGGAAGAGGAATGGAACGGACGGGTTGCTTGGTTTGGTAATGCCTTCCTGCTGCTGCTGATAATAGAATAGATTCCATTGGAATTAAGTAGGCTCCTAACAAGTTTATAATTGAAGGGATTTTATACTTATTCACATTAAAAAGCAAGAACTTTTTAGCTTCTACAATGCAAAGCTTAAAAATCCTATCTTGTCAGTGAGAAAATGCTAATGACTTTGAACTAACATTATTATAAAAGTTACCTGATATCAAGCTAATACATTTTACTGAATATAAGCAATAAACACCCATTTCAGTTAGCACTAGCAGTCAGTATATTCATAGTTTCTGGTATACGTTGCTGATGAAAACATGTAATTATTTTTCTTAATGGTATGCCTGGGAACCAATCATTATGTGAACAGGAAATTACTTTAAACATTCCATTATGCATTTAGTTTCTTTAGAAATGTAAAAGAACTTTAGAAGTCAGCTGAAATTTAGGGTTCTTATATACTGTTCACAATTTCTTTCGTAGTTAAAGTTAGAATCACAGTTAAAGCAGAATCCTGTTTGGTCATGCTCCCTGAATCTGACATTAATTACCAAGTCACCATGAATGCATGTCAAAATGCCAGGCATTTTATAAAACTTAGACTCAGCATTTGTGTATTTGAAAATGGGAAGTCAGCTACTTGGGAGGCTGAGGCAGCAAGATTACTTGAGCTCAGGAGTTCGAGACCAGTCCAGGCAACATAGTGAGACCCTGTCTCATAAAATTAAAAAAAAAAAAAAAAGAAAATATATGCGTGTGTGTAAGACAGAAAATTTCTAATGACTTTCCTAACATACCAGTTTTCCAAGTTTAAGGGTAAATTGTTGTAGTACCCTGAGGAAGTGAGGACTTAGACATTTTTTAATGAACCTGTTGTCCATTCTCTTTTTTAAATCTCTTCAGATGGGTGGTCCTCAGGTGAAGTTTCATCACTGAGGCTCTGTCCTCCTAATCCAGGCTGTGGATAATACTGTGATGTGTTTTATCGGGCAAAAACATATTCTTCATAAACGTCAATAACATGGAAATACTTTTATATTTAAAAAGTGAGTCACAGCATAAATTCTAAGAAACACATGTCTAGAAGGGCCTGTCAAATCATAGTTACAACCGATCCACTTTTCAGGCTTGATAAATGCAGCATTTACCAACCAAATGATTATCACACCAGTTCGTTAAATTATTTTTCAATAGCTTTCATAATTGCAATGTAAGTAATTCATTTTATTATGGAATTTCTATATGCAATTATGACATTTTCTGCTATTGTTAAAATTATATAGTCATGTTATTCTGTGGTGTCATTAGCTAATTTGGCTTTCTCAACTCCATTTTTATTTGGATCCCTCATACGATAGGAATGAAAAAAACAATAGCTTCTGTGTGGAAAATATTCAGATAAGCGCTTCTTTTGAGTTCTAAATTTAAAATTGTGGACCTCAACAAGAAGTGAATGTTCCGAAGTAGAAACTTACATAGTCCATCAACTCATGTCCAGCACAGTTGATGGCTAGATGCAGATTTGTTCCCAGTTCCAGCCCCAAGTTCGCACAGATTCCCTGTAGTAGAAGCAGTGGCTGCTCTATAGTGTCACAGTTAATGGTTAAACAGCCCAGATGGGACATCTTGCCAGTGATCTGCTGCTGCAAGATCAAAAGAAAATGATGAATGTCAGTAGAGCACATCAAGGTCCTTGGAGCTTCCTGTGATAGGCACAGTTTGTAACCAGATACAGCTCTCCAAAGACAGATTCTTTGATTCTCTATTAATCCTACTTCTATCTAGGTCCTCCTCGCATGACTTTGGGCATGATTCCCCTGCAGTATCTGGGAGTAATTTTCTTCTGAGTTTTCCAAGTTTGCCCTGGGAGCACACTCTTCTCTCTTTAGTGTGTGTATGTTATCTCTATCAGCTCTGCCATTCATTGCACATGGGCTAACCTGAGCCACAGCCACCGGGTTGGTGAATCTCCAGGCTCTTCCTGTAAATGTCCACCTAACCTGTCCCTAACTGTGCCAGTCCTCTTCCTCCATACCTGTTCTTTCCTATGTTATGTTTTCCTCTAGATGAAGATAACTGTTAAAAATGTAATCCTCCTCCAGGAAAAGTTTCATTTGTAAAAGGATTGAACACTTCCAATAAAAGGATGCAGAACTGAGGATGGATTTTAGCAGATTTCAGGACCCAAATGACGCCAGGGAAAGGCAGCTCTTGCAAAGTCACTCTTGGTGTGCCCTCGCCATAAATTGCTACTATGCAATTATAAATTGATGCAATATCAGTGATTCTAATGGCTTAGGGTGTGTGTGTGTTTACCAAACTCAAGAGCAAACATGAACCCAGGTATAAATATTCTGTTTCTACTGGCAATAGTGCTAGTTAATTATAAGAACCATCCAACATTTTTAATGTCAATGAGAGGAAACTTTTATTTAGCAAACAAAGCAATAGTTGGGGAAATTTTTGTCTATCAATTGAGTTTTATTATAGAGTCTTCTAAACTATGAAAGCATCACTTATTTGGTGCTTACTAAATGCCAGGTACTGTTCTAAGCATGTTACATAAAGTAAATACATTTACTCCTTACATCAATGCCATAAAACAGGTACAATTATGATCTCCATTTTATAGAGTTAAGTAACTTGGAGCAGATTTTAATCCAGGCAGTTTAGCTCCAGAGTCTATGCCCATAATTCTGGTATGGCTATCTCTCTGGAATCTATATCTGACCTGTTTCTAACAGGAAAAAAAAATAGCAACAGTAGTAAATTGATAATGGGAAGAACTGATCTTGGTCTGAGTTTCTCAGCACACATAAGACCACCTAGTGGAATGAAGGGAACAGCACTGAGAACCGGCTGCTGGTCACTGTGCCCACCTCTCCTGAAAGGCCTAATGTTAGAGTGCTGTGCTCATTCCAACAGGTACAACAGACTTTACTTACTGTGTGTTTGTTCACATTTCTCTTCTCCCAATCTTGAGGAGGAACTTAATTTTTTATCTTTACCAAGTCGTCGTCATCGTCGTCATCTTTTTTTTTTTTTTTTTTTTTTTTTTTTTTTTTACTAATCCCTCTTTTTTTGACTTCAGCAGACTCTCAAGTCCCTGACACCAGGTTAGGGCTTGGATTTCTGGCCACAGAGCGAACATTGCTGATGTGAGCAACCTCCAGCCATTTGCATGATCTCCAGAATTCTTCCTGGCTGCCCTATTTATATTGCTGAACATTTGGGCACATAGTAGTGTATCCATCAGAGCACTCACAATCACCAAAGTGATTGACCAATCAAGTTCAGCTGGTCTCCCAGGACTCCTGAAGCCAGCGTGGCTGGTTTTCACCAGGAGGACTGTTTGCCTGACTCTTGGGGCAAAATCTGAGTTTCCGCAATGTTTTGTCTGACGTGGTGCTTTCAGGGACCAGGTGGAAGTAATGGCCATCTTTTTGTGCCTTTTCTTTCTCTCTTTAGTAGTAGTAAATTTAAAACCTAAAACATCCTATATGTCTTTCAGCTAGTTATCAGAGAGATTCAACTTCCTGAACACTTACCTAGAAGGTCCAATGTAATCCTGTTACTCATAAATGCATCCAAGACCTCTGAGATTTCAGCCGGCCAGACAGCTGGTGGCAGTGATGGCCAGGAAGCTTCTTGCCGGAAGGCAGGGGCAGAATGATATTCCACCTCTGGGGCTTACCTGGGTCAGTGCTCTTGGAGCAATATCACTGTATGTTTTCCATTTGCTTTAGTTCTGGTCTTGGAGCAAAATGACTATGGGAGAGAAAAAGGGGGCAGGGACTATTCAGTCTCATACAGAAGTATAGGAAACATGCATCAACTTACTTGACCTCTTTTGCCTCCATCCTGCCCTTTTTTGGTCTCTGCTTTTGGAGGAGGAGGCTGTGGGATAGAAGATAAAAACATCACTTGGGATTTTCAGCACATCTGTGGCAGCAAGCAGAACTCGAGGTCCTCTGGCCTGTGCACTGCTCTGGGGCCTGACACTGAATCTCTTTCTGTCACACACACACAGGAATGATTCCAGCCACTCCCTACTTTTTTTTTTTTTTTTGAAAAAGATAAAGTTTTTATTAACATAGGAAAATGGACAGGTTTTAGTTTTGAAATTAATTGCAAACTACTAATCTAAATTTTAATTTCTTTGAGTTACTTTGTATTTCTTGGAGTAAATTAAAGAATTTGGCTATTAACACTAGATTATATTTTTATTAAAAGCAAAACATTAGCAGTTGGATCACGAACTATGCTAATCCTTGCTTTTATAAACCCCAAACCATTTTTCAAATTCAGGTACATGTTCCCTTTAATTCATCCTTACCCTCTGCCCCCAGCCAATATATGGAGTGTGTATATACAGATTCATTCATTTCTACTCATATCAGTAAAGTATTACACATCGTGTCATGAGCTCCTGCTGCGTGCAGGCATCCTTTTATGCAGGAGGATACCAGAAATAACACCACTGTGGGATTTGCCTTTTTATAGGCCCAACGTATTGTTTTAATATTCTCCGGGTACTAACACTTTCTCTTATTCCTGCAGGGTGGATTTGACTTTGATTTGAAACAGCCAAATGTCATTAAATCTGGTGAATCTCGTGGGTGGAGTATCATTTAAGGTAAAAGCAAAGATAATTCCCAAAGAGATGGAGTATTGAACGAGTATCTTAGTAAGGTTCTAGTCTTTGAGCACTTCAGTGCTCAACATGCACTGGCTCCATAAGGTGGGGCATGTTTGTCAGGCATCAGTATGATTCACACTCAAATTCTATGCAAATACAATGTTCCTGAACAGAAGGGCAAAGGGGAATCACGTGATGTGATCAGGTGAAGATCTGTGTGATTAATGGCACCAATTCAGAATAGCAAACGTTGAAGAATATTCTTGGTTTGCATTATTGTTGAATTTCTCATGTGCTTTCTATGCCTTCCCAATCAGGAGTTTAAACTGCCTGAGGGCAGGAACTATGTTTTTATCCTCTATTGCACCTAGCAGGGGGCCTTGAAACAACAAAAAATAACCAGAGAAAAACACCCCTAACATCTTCCTCTCCAACTTAAGGAGAAGCTGTTCAATAATGGTAAAGAGTCAAAATCTCCAGGCTTTTTAATCATACATGATGCAATGTGTTCTAGAATGGCTGTTCTCAGTCTCGGTGGGTTTAAAAATGGCTAAAAACCCGAACAAACAAATGCAACCTTTCATTAGTAAGAATTAGCCTACTCAGGAGTTCCTAGGGAAAGTCAGTTATGCTAAAATAAATCTGGCATGAAGTAACTTGCTAATCTATGCCATCAGCCAAATGATGTCATCACAAACTATCACTTCAGCACTAAAAGCATGGTTATTGCAACAAACCCAGGTTCCACTCCTAGCACATCCTATTTTGAAACTAAAGACCATGGCGTGAGCTAAGGTTATCTACAGACATGCTTTGGGTTGGCTCCTGCATGCGAAAACATAGCATTTCTTCAGTATTTTTTTTCCTCAAAATGTATTTAAAATGTAGATTTAGCAGAAGGACTGGTGCAATGTTGGGAATGATCTGTTATCAATGTAATCACTGGGAAAGATTAAACATCTCATTATATTCCATTAGTATTCTATAAATAGGCACCATTTATTGGGAGCCCAGCAATTCAGGGTTCTTCCCATACATTACTTCCAGCCCTTCCAAGGTAGGCATTTTTCAATCATACACCTGAGGAAACCAGTGCATCGGAAGGGTATATGAGATGCTCACAGCAGTGGCTAATAAGTACAGAGCCAAAACTGAAAACAGATCTCTTTGCTTTTGTACTACACTAGATTATCTTTAGCAACTAAAACTTTCTCATAGAACTTTGGGACTTTGACAGAGTAGTGGTGGTGTTTGATGTCTGAACTTCTGTAAAAGGCTTTATTACTTTTTCTTCAAATAAGATTGAGCTAGTGAGAGCTATTACTAAGGATCCCACTGTAGCCTTCAAACGTGTAACATCAGGTGAAAAGTCAACCAGAAATGAATATGGGAATATGATCCCTGGTTCACACTATTGATATAAATGCCAGATGAATTTGAGATATAAATAAATCTCTGAAACTATAAAAGTGTTAGGACAATGTATTCTATGATTTGAGGTCAATTTAGCACATGATTGAGATCATGGACTCGGGCCAGATTTCTGGGTTTGGATTAATTAACTGTGCTGGGCCTGAGTTTCTTAATCTGTATAATAGGGATAATAATAGTACCTACCTGTAGAACTGTGAGGATTGAATGAGTTAAAATATTAGCGCACTCAGGCTAATGCCTAGTAAACTCAAAAAATACTTGTGGATTATTAGTATTATAGGAAGAGGAAGTGCCTTATTAAACAAGGAACACAAAGCAAAAGCTTTGGAGCAGGCTTCCTCAACCTTGGCACTACTGGCACTTTGGGCTGGATAATTCTTTGTTGTAGGGGGGCTTCCCTGTGCATTGTGGGACATTCAGCAGCATCCCTGATCCCTGCTTACCAGATGCTGTTAAAACCCCTCCCTCCAAGTTGAGACAACTCAAAATATCTCCAGACTTGCCAAATGTCTCCTGGGAAAAATCACCCCTGGTTGAGAATAACTGCCTTAGAAGAACAGATTGATACGTTTTACTACATCAAATAAAAAAAAAATCTGTATGATTCCATAAAATACAGTTAAAAAGCAAGCAACATGATAGAGGAAAATGTCTAACATATGTAAAGGAGTAAGTCTCCTTATATAAAGAATTCCTTAGATGTCAATAAAAGATAATAAAAAGGGCAAAGAAATAAAGCAATTTGCAGATCATTTGTATAGAATTTTTATATGATTTTAAACAGTGTTTTTTGTGTATATTTAAAAAAAAAAGGCTGGAAGGCCACACTAAATTTTTAACGGTGGGTGTCTCCAGAAAAGGGGCTGGTATTGAAGGTGGTAGTCGGCAAGGGGGTGCTGGTTCTACCAGTATTTGAATTTTCACAAGAACGTTCATGAGCTGTTTGTATAAACAAAAAATAAATAAAACATTTAAAAGTCAGGGCTGGGCATGGTGGCTCACACCTGTAATCCTAGCACTTTGGGAGGCCGAGGTAGGAGGATTGCTTGAGGCCAGGAGTTTGAGAGCCACCTGGACAACAGCCAGACCCCATCTCTACAAAAAATTTAAAAATTAGCCAGATATGGTGGCAGTGCATGCCTATAGTCCCAGCTACTTGGGAGGCTGAGGCAGGAGGATTACTCAAGCCCTGGAGTTGGAGGTTGCAGTGAGCTATGATTGCACCACTGCACTCTAGCCCAGGAAACAGAGCGAGACCCTGTCTCAAAAAACAAAAAATTTAAAAGGATGAATTGCAGAATGCCCAAATATCCTTAATTTCCTAGTATTTTAAACTGGATTTCCTCCACCTGCTCTGTCTACCACAAACAAAGTATGGCTTACTGTCGCACCAGCTCCTGCTGGCAGCATGTTCCATATCTTAAACTCATTTACTCCCCACAGTCGCCCTCATAACATGGGTACTTACCATCTCCATTTTATAGATGAGGAACCTGATACAGAGAGGTTATGTAATTGGCCCAGAGTCACAGAGTTGTAAGTGAAAAAGCAGAGTTAACTTACCCAAGTTTGAGTCTCTCTAGGCTGGTTTCCCAGAAAAGAAGTTGGCCTCCTGAAAAGGGCCATGAAAACCAGCTCCCGCCTGGTGCTTAGAGCAGTTCCCATCAACCACAAGGCTGGGGCCCCAGCCACTCCTCCTCCCATCATGGCAGGGCTGGTGCCCCCTGCCTGCTGTCACACTGGGTGCTGGCAGGAGAGTTAGAACCAAAGTTCCTCCATGTTCTACTGCTATTGTGTCCCGGCCCCCTCCTTCTGGGCCCCCATCCTACTGCTTCCTAATCACGCAGCTTAAAAGCCCCAGGCTAAATGCAATGTGGGATCCTGGATTGGATCCTAGAACAGAAAAAGGACATTAGCGGAAAAACCAGTGAAATTTGAATAAAGTCTGGAGTTCAGTTATTAGTAATGTACCATTTTGGTTTCCTAGTTTTGACAAATGTACCATGTAATGTATCATTAATGTTGGCGGGAACTGGGTGAGGGGTATTCAAGAACTCTCCATGTATCTTTATAACTTTTCTATAAATGTAATAGTCCAAAATAAAAGCCCCACAGACAAGGATTGGGTCCCTCTCCTGGCCTCAGCCCTGTCATATCACTGTGCACTACCCTAGCTAGAATATGATGGGACAACTGCTGACTCATGCACCCTGCTCTGTGACTTCCCCTGACAGGGCTGCTCAGCCAAGGGTCCTTTTTGCCCAACACCAGGATCCTAATGCAGGCACAGGAGGCTGTGCCTTCACTAAACTGCCTCTCACATCCTAGGGGCCAAATCCTTTCTTTCTTTGTATACCCTAAGGGATGATCTTAGCACAGAGCCAGCTGCCTCAGAAACTGAAATGCGATTAAGTACTGTTAGAGACTGGATCCATAGCCAATGAGGAGATGTAACACTTGGTTCACATGGGAACCCCAAAGCAAAGAAATACATTTCATATCAATATTGATTTAATTCCAAATGAACTACAATGCTAGATGGTGTATAAGTGTCAGTGACTAGATACCACAGAATCTCTTTACATACCATTTCAATGATTTTGATAATATTTTTCTGAATTTCCATAAGCATCTCCACACCCTGTAAGTAGAACAACCATGAACTTACACAATTGCAGTCTAGAAATTTTAAATATATTAAAACTTGTACCACATGTGGCTTTTCTAATTCAGAATATTTATAGAGTCCCTGATAAATCACCCTGGTTAGTGGATGACGTGATCTACAAATCAGAAGAGGAAATGTTAATCCTCAGCCCCCAGGTTTCACTAGGTGGCCTGGGAATGACAGGCTCTTCTCCCTCAGTCGCCTCTCTTCATTGTCTAGAACTGACTGGTTCCGTTGGCTGCATCAGGTCAACTTCACTCTCTTTAATGGTCTCTTGACCAACCTGGACAGCCTTCTTGCAATACACATGTCACAGGTCACTAAGGCAGTGATTAGAGTGGCTGAATCAATATAAATCCACTGTCACTTAAAAAGTAGAGAAGTGTGTTCTGATGAGGGTATCTGCATACAAAGACAAAGAATGGCAAGCCCAGTGCTCTGGTACCTAAAGAACTCAACAGATATTAACTAAAAGAAAGGTCCCAACACCAGGCTCTGACTATGATCTGACAGATAGTAAGCCACATATAAATCCTAGTCTTCTGCAACTGATAAGTTGTGAGGTAACAATTATTTTATTTAAAAAGAATTCTTTATGATAAATCATCTTGAAAAAATTTTTTTACTGATTTCCATTAAGATAAAATATCACTCAATTGATTACTGTAGGGAGAGGGGGGAAAACTTCTTGTACTTTTTTGGAAAGCATCCACTATAGAACTTGAACCTTTAGTTCTCCCTAACGCCTAAGTAGTAGACTATTTCATGAAGATTTAAAGAGGCATGTTGACTCTTTTGGGCCACCGAAGACAATAAAGACACTAGCACACGTCTGAGTGGTGAAGATGCCACTTCATTCTATAAATAGGCACTAAATGTCACTTATGTGCCAGGCAATCTGCTAGGCCTGGAGTTCTTCCTTAATAGAGTGGGCTGCTAGGGAAGTGCCAGCTTCCTCTTGGTGCCATAGTGCCTGGTGCAGAGTAAATAAAGAGGTCCCGACTCCCCCAAATAACAACTTTCCAGCACTGTCCAGGCCTGCAGTGACTCCCCCATGGCTTTTCTGTGAGTCATAGCATGAGTCAATCCCGCAACGAACCAGACATCTAAGGTGCTCTAAATGTCTTCCCTTTTGCTTGAGGACTTGCTTTCTTTCCACTTCCCTGATTTCCTAAATTTTTTCTCATTTTATCTTTAATTCCCTCTTCCTTGGTGACACAAGGGAGCTGCACTAAAAACTCAGTGATGGAGTATTTTTTTTTTAGAAAAAATAAAGATAAGTTGAGATAATGTAAGGTACTTGTTTGGTGGTTAGTTCAGGATGGGGTATGCAAATCACTTCTTTCATTAAATTTAGCTTCCCAGGTGATGACTTCCCACAGCTGAGCAGAGTTACCATCAGCAAAGGCATAGGTAGGGTCGATGGCTGTTCCTGAAATAGGGGGAAAGCAAGGGCAAATGAGAAATAGGGCTCATTCGCATTGAGATCCTCATGCCTCCTTGTAATGGGACATCATAGGTACTGACCTGGTTGTGCTTCAGTAATGCGATATTCAAGTATAGAGGATTATTGCCCAGTATGGCACTGGTTTTGGCAACAGCTAGTGACACGGCCCCTATGGCCATACTGCCACAGAGTACAGGTTCAACAGGTTCTGCAGGTTGAATAGGTTTCTCTGTAATAGCGTCATTCTTCCCTGGAGGGAAAAATATTGAGAATCAGACTATGTTTTTAAATGTTTTATTTACAAATGGGAAGGCCCAACAAAAATAAAAAAAGGGATGAAAGCTGAGGCTGGGAAGAACATATTCTCCCCCTCAACCTCCAAGAAGTTTTCTGTTTGATTTCACCTGCGATGCTCAAATAATCCTTAACCATGGATTTTGCCTCTCTAAGAAATTCTAGGTCATTCAATATTAACTCCTTCAACAATCATGAGGTAGATATTCTTACCCTATATTCACATATAAGCAAACTATGGCTAAGAGAGGTTAAGAGACTTCCCCTATATGTAACAGCAAGTGGATAAATAGAGGATTTGAAGCATCTTTGGATTCCAAATTTTTGGTTTTTCTATATTTCACCATAGCTGCTGCCAACTTTCCCTTCACGCATATATCTGTTAACAACTTACTGTCTTTCTCACTAACCTCAAACCAATGCCTTATTCTGTATTGTTTATGATCTTTAGAAATGCCTTCCGGATCGACCGTCCATCCAGAATCCTTACCCATCTTTCACTCTAACATTTTCTCAGCTACCCTGTTTGATCAGGTACCATGGAGTCCACCATAAATCTCTAGTATTCCTGTTGTCCTTTCCCCCACAGCTGCTGATGTGGTTCCGGTCCCCAGTGGAGATAAGGTATGTAAGCATATAAGAAGTGCTTTTAGCAAAAACCTATCCCCTCCTACTTCTTCCCTTAAGTTCCAGGGTTTTTTAAAAAAAAAATTTATTTGTATACATTCATGGGGAACAAGTGTAGTTTTACTACAATGGTATATTGCATCGTAGTGAAGTCATATCCTGTAGTGCATCCGTCACTGTAGCAACACACATTGTACCTACCAGGCAACCTCCCAGCACCACTCTCCTCCCCCACCCCCCTCCTCCACCCCTCAAAATTGCTTTGGCTATTTGAGCTCTTTTTTGGTACCATATGAACTTTAGAGTTGTTTTTTTCTAATTCTGCAAAAAAATGATGTTGGTATTTTCATAGGGATTGTACTGAACCTGTAGATTGCTTTGGGCAGTATGGTAATTTTAATGATATTAATTCTTCTGATCCATGAGCATGGTATGTTTTTACATTTGTGTCACCTACATTTTCTTTCATCAGTGTTTTATAGTTTTCATTGTAGAGATCTTTCACTTCTTTGGTTAAGTTTATTCCTCGGTATTTTATTTTATTTTGTAGCTATTATAAATGGGACTGCCTTCTTGATTTGGTTCCCAGCTACATTGTTATTGGTGTATAGAGATGCTAATGATTTCTGTACATTGATTTTCTATCCCGAAACGTTGCTGACTTCATTTACCAAATCTAAGAGTTTTTTGTTGGAGTCTTTAGGGTTTTCTAGATATAAGATCATATCATCACCAAACAGGGATAATTTGACTTCTTCTTTTCTAATTTGGATGGCTGTTACTTTTTTCTCTTCCCTGATTGCTCTGGTGAGCACTTCTAGTACTATGTTGAATAAGAGTGGTGACAGTGGACATCCTTGTCTTATTCCAGTTCTTAGCAGAAATGCCTTCAACTTTTCCCCATTAAGTATGATGTTGGCTGTGGGTTCATCATATATGGCCTTTATTATTTTGATGTTCCTTCTATGCCTAGTTTGTTGAGTTTTTTTCATGAATGGATACTAATTTTATCAAGTGTTTTTTCTGCATCTATTGAGATGATCATATGGTTTTTGTCTTTAATTCTGTTGATGTGATGTATCACATTTATTGATTTTGTGTATGTTGAACTATCCTTGCATCCCTGGTATAAAATCCATTTAATCATGGTGTATTATTCTTTTGATGTGCTATTGGTTTCAACTTGCAAGTATTTCATTGAGGATTTTTGCATCTATGTTCAGCAGGGATACTGGTTTGTATTTTATTGTTGTTGTTGTGTTCTTGTCTGGGTGATACTGGCCTCGTAGAATGGGGAAAATTCCCTCCTCAGTTTTTTAAAACAGTTTCAGGACAATTGGTATTAGCTCTTCTTTGTAGGTCTGGTAGAATTCAGCTGTGAATCCATCTGGTCCCAGGCTTTTTTTTCTTGGGAGATTTTTTTATTGCTGATTCAATCTTGCTACTCATTATTGGTCTGTTTAGGAGTTCTGTTTCTTCAGGGTTCAATCTCAGGAGGTTGTATGTTTCCAGGAATTTATCCATTTCCTCTAGGTTTTCTTGTTTGTCAGTGTACTGTTGCTCATAATATTCTCTAATGATCTTTTGTATTTCTGTGGTATCAGTTGTACTCTCTCCTTTTTCATTTCTGATTTTATTTATTTGGATCTTTCTGCTTGGTTAGTCTAGCTAGTGGTTTATCAGTTTTGCTTATCTTTTTGAAGAACCAACTTTTAGTTTTGTCGATCCTTTATATTGTTTTTTCAGTTACCATTTCTTTTGGTTCTGTTCTGATCTTTGTTATTTCTTCTGCTAACTTTGGGTTTGATTTGTTCTTATTTTTCTAGTTTCTTGAGGTGTGATGTTAGGTTGTTAATTTGTGATCTTCCTACTTTTTCGGTGTAGACATTTAATGCTATAGACTTCCCAGTTTGTGGGGAGTTAGCTACGCTTCCAGCAAAAAATCGGGTTCCTTAGGCAGGGGTCGTCAGGATAAGGAAATAATGGAAAATAGAAATAAAAGAATACACAGAGACGAAGATACACTTTTATAGATTTATAAAGTGAAGCTCAGGAGTCCCCACAGTATTTCCGTAAACTGTGAGGCCCAGAATAAAGTTTTACATGGGTATTTACAGGTACAGAGATTGGTTTCCAGGGGTAAAAGGTTTACATAATAACAGGTAGTTCGTTTTAGGTTAAAAGTCTTCCAAAAGGCTTCTGTAGATCCCTTAATTTACTCTATCTACATGAACAGTTACAAAATCTCTCAAAGACAAAGTTCTAAGATAAAGCTATCACTTAACAGAAGGGTTAAACCGAGATATAGTGGCTCCATATTTCTTTATCTAGTTACTGTGGATGGAGATAGGTAGTTAGGAGTCAAGCAGGAACTGTCCCTTGGGCTAATTGCTTTTAGCCACAGGTGTCTGTCTCTCAGCCGGCACTCTTTGATCAGCTCTCATCCCGTGGCTCCATGCAAACCTGCTTTGTCTTTCAAAGCAGGCGAAAACTACAGGTTTGAGACTGCAGTGGCTCCATGAAAACCTGCTTTGTTGTTCAAAGCAGGTGAAAACCACAGGTTTGAGACTGCAGCGTCACCTTGGAAAGCAGCTGCTACTGACCTTTGAGATGCCCTCCTGAGGGGAGGCAGCTTTTGATATGCAAACTAACACGTTCACCTATTCCTTCAGGGCAAAGCCCTGCAAAACTCCTGAAATCATTTCTGTCTCTAATATTATAGGGCCATCTCAATAAAGCAACCTTCCTATGGAGCAACACTGGTTAGCACTGCTTTTGCTGTATCCAACAGGTTTTGGTATGTTGTGTTTTCATTTTCATTTGTTTCAAAAAGTTTTAAAATTTCTGTCTTAATTTCTCTGTTGACTCACTGATCATTCAGGAGCATGTAGTTTAATTTCCATGTATTTGTGTAGTTTCTGAAGTTCCTCTTTGTATTGATTTCTAGCTTTATTCCATTGGGGTCTGAGAAGATACCTGATATGATATTGATTTTTAAAAATTCATGAAGGCCTCTTTGTGGCCTAATATGTGGTCTGTCTTGGAGAATATCCCATGTGCTGATGAAAAGAATGTATATTATGTAGTTGTTAGGTAGAAATTTCACTAAATGTCTGTTAAGTCCATTTGGTCTAAAGTCTAATTTGAGTTCACTGTTTCTTTGTTAATTTTCTGTCTCGATGCTCTGTCTGGTGTTGTGAGCGGGGTGTTGACCTCCCCCACTATTATTGTGTTGCCTTCTATCTCTTTAGGTGCAGTAATATTTGTTTTGTGAATCTGGGTGCTCCAATGTTGGGTGCATGTATATTTAGGATAGTTATATCCTCTTGCTGAATTGACCCCTTTATCATGATATAATGGCATTCTTTGTCTTTTTTTACTCTTTTTGATTTAAAGTCTGTTTTATCTGATATAAGTATAGCTACTCCTGCTTGCTCTTGGTTTCCATTTGTGTGGAATATCTTTTTCCACCCATTTACTTTCAGTCTCTATGTGTCTTTATGGGTAAGGTGAGTTTCTTACAAGCAAAATATAATTGGATCATGTGTTTTTAATCCATTCTGCCAATCTATATCTTTTAAGTGAATCACTTACTCCATTTACATTCAAGGTTAATATTGATATGTGAGGCTTTATTCCTGTAATATTGTTAATTGTTATCTAATTGTTTTATACTTTCTTTTTCTTTTTATCTTTGTGGTTTGCTGCAATTCTGTCACATTGCCATTTGATTCTTTTTTCTTCCTCCTTTGTGTGATTGTTTTATAAGACCTGTGAGTTTTATATGTTTGTATGTTTTCATATGGTGAATACTGACCTTTCATTTCCATGTTTAAGAACCTTTGAGCATTTCCTATAGGGCCAATCTAATGGTGATGATTTCTCTCAGCATTTGCTTGTCTGAGAAAGCCTTTATTTCTCCTTCATTTATAAAACTTATTCTGGCAAGATGTTAAATTCTTGGCTGACAGTTTGGTTTTTTTTCTTTCAGTCCTTTGAAAATGCCATCCCATTCTCCTGGTCTGTAAGGTTTTTGCTGAGAAGTCCACTATTAGTCTGGTGGGATTTCCTTTATAGGTGACTAGTCACTTTTCTCTTGCTAATTTTAAAATTCTTTCTTTCACTTTGACTTTAGACATTTTGATTATAATATGCTGTAGTGAAGTCTTTTTTGTAATGTATTTGCCTGGGGAATCACTGAGCCTCTTGTATCTAGATGTCTAAGTCTCTTCTTAGACTTGGGAAGTTTTCATAGACTATTTCATTGAGTAGGTTTTCTAAACATTTTTATCTCTCTTCCCCCTCCAGAATACTGATAGTTCATAAGTTTTATGCAGTCCCAGACACCTGGAAGCCTTTGATCATTCTTTTTTCCTTATTTTTGTCTGACTGGATTATTTCAAAAGACCTTTCTTCAAGTTCTGAGAATCTTTCTTCTGCTTGAAGATTTCATATGTATTTTGTATTTCCTTCGGTGAATTTTCAGCTCCAGAATTTCTGGTTTTGTAAGATATCTATTTCCTTGGTAAATTTCTCACTCATATACTGAATTAGTTTTCTCATTTATTTGTATTGCTTTTCAGATTTCTCTTGCATCTCATTGAGCAGCTTTAAAATCAATATTTTGAATTCTTTATCTGGCATTTTGAGGAATTCTTTTTGACTGGGATTCATTGCTGGACAATTGTTACCCTTTGGAAGTGTTGTATTTCTTTGTTTTTTCACATTTCCTGTGTCCCTCTGTTGATATCTGTGCATCTGGTGTAATAGTCACTTATTTCACATTTTTGAAATTGCTTTTGTAGGGGAAGAATTTTTTCCTGAAGATGTATATATATTGTTGGTTGAGTAGGACACTTTGACTTTGATTTTTGGGTGCCTGGAATAGTGTGATCTTTGTATGATTTCTTTGGCAATACACAGGGTCAGTGGTATCTGTGATTTCCTTGTTGGCTTAGGATATGGTTATTAGTTGAGGCTGTGATGAAGGTTTGCTGGGTAGCAGGACAGCAGCTGAACCAGTCTTTGGGCCCCAGTGGTGGAAGCAGTCAACAAAGTATACTTGTTTTTAGACCCCAGAGCAGCTTATGCTGGCACTGGTGTTAGTGGGTCCTAGAGAGCCAATTCTTGGGCCTCCACGTGGCTTGTTCAGAAGCTAGTAGTGGGAGCAGAGGGCCAGGTGTGTGGGCAGGTTCTCAGGCTCTTAGAAAGCTGGTGTGATGTGGGCGTTGGCAATGGCAGTGGTGGAGCCACCCGCTGGGACCCAAGCAGTCCATGTTGTTGATGGCTGCAGCTGGGTTACCTCGAACTTAGTCCACAGGTGGGGCTCAGCCCACTGTTAAACTCTCAAAATGGCACTTTCTGTGGCCCTGCCATCAGGGAGAACATGGCCCCTTTCAGGTGAGCAGCATGGGCAAGAAACTGTGGGCAGTGCGGTCCACGTGAGTCTCAGTCTCCCAGTGATCCACAGCAGGGTGGTGGGTATAATGTTAGGTGTGCATAGGAGAGCCTGGGCTCCCCTGTCCCTCCTCAGCCAGGCAGTGGCTGTAGCTGCATCAGCTTGAACTCGGCCTAAGAGCAGGACACAATCCAGAGTTAAACTTTTAAAATGGCACCCCACCTTGGGCCTGTGACCAGAGAGAGTGGGGGCTCTTCCAGGCAAGTAGTGTGGGCAAGAACCTGTGGGGAATGCAGTCCATTCACATCTTGGTCTCACTGCAGCCTGTTGCAGGGGGTAGGTATTGTTGTAGGTATGCACAGGAGAGCCTGGTTTCCTGTCACTCCTCAGCTGGGCAGCAGCTGCAGCTGTGTCAGCTTGAACTCCTTAAGTTCCAGGTTCTGTGATTCAAAAGCAACCACCAAATGAACATCCATTGCTGGTCTCCACCTATAACTCAGTAGTGGTCATTCCTCTCTCCCAAGGGAAGATTGGTCAAATATAATATAATTCTTTTGCCTTGGGCAATTCTCTTCTCCGCTCTTCTGCTCTCTTCTGCAAACTGAACACGGGCCTCAGGATCCCAATCTACGAAATAAAGGTCCTTTTCTCCATAGATTCTCTTGTCTCTTCCTGTTTCTGGTGCTTTCTTACTCAATGGACCTCACATTTATTGGGTATTTGGTTTGTGCCTGGCATTATGCTCAACATGAGCAATGGAAAGTTGAACAACACATGATTCATGCCCTCAAGGAGCATGCTCTAGTTCAGAAGACATACAAAACACTGTTACAATACTAGTAGTAGCTCCCGATTTAACACACTGTAGGGGCCGAGGTTAGCAATCTGTTGGAAGGCATGGAGCAGTTGGCAAAGTAAAGTGATAACTTCAATTACTTGCTTTGAAATAATAAAGTTTTCTAAAGAAAATGTTTATTTATGTTACATAGGACTGAGGAAATGTTAGTTGTCCATATTAAAGGGTATCAAAACTCTTTAAAGTATGGAGTGGCTTTTTGATTAGTTAATGGAAATTCAAGGGAGGTGAATGGTCCCCCATGCCATCTCACCCCCACCCGACCCCCTATATTTCCACTGCTCAATGCACTTTATTTAATAAATGCTTGCCTCTGGATGAAAAATCGTTTTATCTTACAAATAAAAATGGAGGGTGGGGTGGGGTGCAACCCTGCCCACCCACACAGCAGCTTTCAGTGAGAAAGTAGCATGGAGGATGGACAGCTCTCAGCTGGGTGCCCAACCTGGGTCTGCAGCAAAGAGACCCAGAAAGGCAGTCCAGCTTCAGCCTTTCTTCCTCACATATTTGTTACTAAGGGTGCTGCAAGATACTAAGCCACTCACCTTGCTTTTGTCCTTTTTTTTTTGGAGGAGGTGGAGGAGGGGGTGATGGTATTAGAGGTAGAGGCGTAGGCACTATTGGGTCTTCCAGGCTCTTTTCTAATTCTTTTCTCTCCTTATCTTCTTGTACTTTATTTGCAAAGAATATCCTTAATGGCAAGAATATGCGGCTTCACAATGCGATATTGAAGAATAGCACTCTGTAATTCTGGTCATGTTTTAGACTGACCCCAATATAGTTCAATAAATAACTCTGCTTTTTAGCTACTTAAGAACAAATCAGATTCAATTTCCAAGGCCAGAAAATAATGATGCTGTTATAAGACTGTGTTTAAGAACTGAAATTTATTTTGCCCTGGAAATAAATGTTTAAAGATTTGAGGTGCTAATTTTTAAAATTAGTTAAGCCTCGTTTGCATTTTTAAAGTAAAATTTGAAGACATAATTTAAGGGCTACTGGACTTTCTTTTTGTATAAATGACCATAAAAAACAAGTGCATCAAGAATAAACAGTGAAATACAGCATTATATGGAGGACTTCCTTTTTGGGGGGGGGCGTTGCTCAAAATAAATACTTTTTAAAAAACTTTTGGGAAAGCCCACTTAGGTACATTTACATAAAATATCAGCCCCCTAAGACAAAAAGAAGAGGCTAAAAACTTCATAGACAAAAAAATGAGCAAACAAAAAACAAAGACTTGGGAATCAGATTTACATCATATTTATTAATAATCCAAATGCCAGTGGGGCAATGCTTTTAAAGTATGAGGGAAGTTGATTTCGACAGAGAATTCCATACTCAGCTAAACTATCAAACACAAGGGCAAAGTAGACATTCCCACGCGTGTAACAACTCAAAAACTTTACATCCCACGTACTCTTTTTCATCCTTGTTATTAAAGAATATAATCCAGCAAATCAAGAAAGAGGAGAATATGGGATCCAGAAACAGGAGGACAATGAAGTCTTTATGGCATCTCTGTAGCAGGTCTATAGATGGGAGGTTTGAGGAGAGAAAACTTCAGGAAAAAAGGAATGTAATAAAATAGAAGGTATTACAGATGTTGAAAAAAAAACTAAGTAGATGATAATTAGCAGATAAGGCCAAAATATATCTATATATAGAGAGAGAAATAGCATTGAGAAACTCCAAGAAAACCAAAAACCAAAGAACTATTCAAAAAACTTTTTTTTTTTTTTACAAAGGTCACCATCCAACTCTGAAGCAAACTATAAAGTGATATTATACACAGTTAAGCAAATGATAAAGCTTAAGAGAAGAGAATCCAGTTGACCTTTGGCCAAGGGGGTTGTGGCTTGGACCTGTGCAAAGGAAAACGGATTTCTAACCCATTACTTGGTCAGGCATTGAACAATACTTACATAGCCCTAGTAAACGCTTCCCTGATTTTCAAATGTTAGAGTCAACCTTTGGGCAAAGCATGGAAGATTTGGTTGTGGCTGGAAGACAGAATGTAAGCGTCAGCCGTTGAGACTACATTACGGGACATGAGAAGCTCACAGGTGGGAAATGAGGGCATGGGGAGAGGGAAAGGACATCCTCTGGATCTGTAACTTGATTCTTTTCCTGAGAAACTTTTTACTGAATCTTAGGAGAGCTCTATGCAGGAAAAGAGAACAAAGGGCCCTATGTAGCCTTACATAGTAAGATTTTAATAACAGGATTTTCAGGAGAAAAACAGTATTTTATGCTAAATGTTGCTGATTTCACATATGCTTCTTAAAGTGACTTCCCAACTCTATTGATTTGACAGACATGTTTTGTTGGCGGGTGAATGGAAAGACAACGGATGCATAGTTATACCTGATGTTTATATTTCACAGTGGAAGTTGTACCTGAGCAGGTGATCCACCGCCACCTGGTCGGTGGGTGCAAGGCCCTGAAGCTCCTGGGTGATGGGGCCGTTGACCCAGTGCACAGCCGTGCTGACCGCACTGGCCCTCTCTGCCTCCTCCGCTTCAGCCAGCTCGGGCACAGCGCTCTCGTGGACTTCAAAGTGAGTCGAGATCACCACAGAACATATGTTCTGAAAATTATATAAATATGTTCCACGTTTTCTCTACCTCTCACAGAAAATAAGAAATTGAATTAATCCAGTTTTTAACGTGTATGATATTTTCTCACCAATTTCAAGGGAAAACGAGAATATATAATTTTCTTTGAGATATTTTTATAGCTGTTGAAACACCGTGGAACCCAACTTCATGGAACATTTAAAATTATTACTTCCTTAAAATATCCTTATAAAAACCCTATATTGAACTTCATTTTTTATCATTACCTCTCTAATAAATAACTACAAGAATACAAATAGATTCAATCATAATTATTCTCTTTCCAGAGACTGTAGCAAAATTATTTCTAATGAATATGTAGCAATTATAGTAAATTAAAATGAATTGTTAGAACTATTAAAATGAATTATTTTCTTTATTTAGATCAGTCTACATATTATAAATCCATATATAAATACATAAATCTGTAAACTTCTATATAGACTTATAGAACTCATCACATCTATAGTGTCAGTTTTAAAACTATTTTGGCTTTATTTTCTTTCTCACTGTTGGGTCATCTTCAGGTTAATATGTCATATCTGTACCCAAATTACACTTAAACATAAGCCTTCATGATTGACTATATGATTCATGCTTACATGACTAACTATGAATAGTGTGTGTGTATATGTATGTATACATTTCACACTGAATTTCAAAACATTAATTTTCTGCAGTTTAGACAAGAATTGCTAACAAGTGCAGTGCGGCCAGGACATATTAAAGAACACATTTAAACTGCCTCATACCTTGGGAAAGTTTTGAATGGTGCAGAATGTTTCCACTTGTAGGGTTGGAAGCCCCAGTCCATCCAGTACGTTTTTCCCCACTATTTTGTATATGGTAGGAGGCTTTGCAAGTTTAGAAAAGTAGTTTGCCTTCAACACACACAAAAAAAGCAAAAATCAAAAACTACATCTAATTATCTTCAAAAGGTCATTCACGGTTATCCTAGTTTCTACTAAACTTCTCCGTGAGTATCCTTCCTGGTGCCGGGATTAGACTAGCAGCTCTGTGGAACTGCCCTGCCCTCGCGGACTGAGATTTGAATTCAGCCTGATGCTGAGTCTCTGCTACATGGGGCGCTTTGTGGTCTCTTGAACTCTTAGCAGAAACTTGCACACATTTCTTGATTTAAAGGCCCTGTGTAACTGTTTCGGAGGCATTATAGTCAACTCAATTCGCTAAACTATCCCTCTTTTCAAGATGCAGAAGTCAATTGTTCTCTATAATGCTGTGATGCATTCAAATTTTTTTTTATTATTATTTCAGGAAATTATGGGGGTACAAACATTTTGGTTACGTTATGACTTTGCCATATCCGAACCATGATTTGAGACGTGCCCTTCCCCCCCACAACACTCACCGCATCCATTAGTTGTGAGTTTACCCACCCCCAACCCCACTACCCCCAAAGAATATTACTACCGTGTGAGCACCTTGGTGTTGATCAGTCAGTGCCAGTTTGATGGCGAGTACATGTGGTAGAATAGGCATTCAAATTTAAGAAACCTGAAGTGGGCTGATTTTTATTCCTCCCAGCAAGGTATCTGATATTCTAATAGTGAAGACTTATGCAGTGGCTGTATCTCACTCGCCATCAGCTCATGCATAGTCCTGTCTGTTCAAAGAAGCTTTTTGGGAACCTCAGTAATAGCAGTTTCATTGACCTGGAAAAGCAGAAGCCATTTGGAAGTGATCCAATAAAGAGCCTGAAGAAGGAGAATGAAGCTGAGGTAGAAAGCCCGCCAAGGAGCCTGGTGTTTCTGTGCAGAGCAGGAGTTAGGAGCCTCTCCAAGGGAAAGTAAAGGCACACCCTCCTTGCTCTCTTTATTACCAGATAGAATTGGATTTCTTGTTTTCATTTAGCAGACCAGGTCTCTGATCTTTCAGTTCAAAACCTAGTGACTTCAACTTAAACAACAGATCATCTAACACGCACAATGTGCCAGCTCAGAGGGGAGGCCCCAACAAAATGGAAGCAAAAGCCAATTTTCAAGCCATCCATGCATTTTAAGAATGATGGTTTGTATGTTACAGGGTAAGTGCCTAAATGAAATTAGATAGAATCAGGGAAGGAAAAATGTTATTTAGCTTTTACTTTGTGTGTTACAGTAAGTTCAATTTAACAAGCACTGAACACCTACAATGTGCAACATACTGTGTTAGGCGGGGAAGGAAACTAACATTTTTTAAGTGTTTAATATGAACTCTGAAGGAGTGACTATGTCTTATCGCTGTATCACATACCACAGTGCCTGGCATATATAGGATTCCATAAATTAAATCTTGTATAAATGAATGTCACACCCATCCTTTGTATACATTATGCCATTAAATTCTCAACACAACCCGCTAAAGTAGGTGATACCATCTCTATTCCACAGATGAACAAACTGAATTCCAGAAAAATTAACTGTCCGAGATCACATAGCCAATTTTTAAATTATCTACTGCTTTGTAACAGACCACCCCAAAACATAGTGGCTTAAACCATTAATTTGCTCATGATTCTACAGTATGGGCTGGGCTCAACTGGGAAATTCTTTTGCTGGTCTTGCCTGGGGTCTCTTATGTAGATGTAGTCATCTGGAGGCTTGACTGGGGCCAGAATATCCAAGGTGTTTTCACCCACCAAGTCCAGTGCCTCAGCTGGGCTGACTGGGCATCTGTCTTTCTCATAGGATATCCTGGGGCCTTGCATCTGCCGGACCCTCTCTCTACATGATCTCTCTCTTTCCAGCAGGGTAATTGAGACATCGTCACAGCATGATGACTAGCTTCCAAGAGGACAAGCCTCAATATGCCAGCACTCATCACGCCTGTTTGTATCACGCTTGCCAACGTCCTATTGATCAAAGGAAGATATATGGCCAAGTCCAGAGTCGACATGAGAGGGACTTACATAAGAGCGTTCACGCTTGAGGTGTGGTTCATTGGGGGACAGTTATTTAAGTGGCAGAACTAAGAATCAAACCCAGTTCCACCTGATTCCCAATCCCAAACTCTTTCAATAGTAAGTTTTATGATGAAGGAATAAATAGTATTGTTACTGCCTACAAGGATCTTCCCCTTGCCTGGATTCCTCTATTATGTAACAGAAGTATAGAAGAAATGGCATTTGAGCTGAACACTGGAGGAAGTGTAATTTCAACAGGAGGATAAGGATCGGGGAGTAGAGAGCAGATACCTCAGGTAGAGGGAAAAGGATAAACAAAGTGAGGGAAGTGGGAAACTTCTGGCTTTCGGGGGTGTCAGTGATCCAGTGTGGAGGAGCAGAGTGGGCAGTGGGAGATGAGGCTGTCACCAGAGGTAGGGCTGTGAGCACTACGAACCATGCACATGAAGGCCAGCAAGCAAGGGTCAGCTACTGGAGGTTTCTGAGGAAGAGAATTCTGAGGTCAGACTTGAGTATTAGGACATTGCTCTGGCAGCACTCTGCAGGATGGACTCAATAGAGGGAGAGACCAGGTGAGAACAGGATGGCCAAAACTAGGGCAGTGACACAAAAAATGAAAAAGAGGTTGCGTTTTTGCTAATGCAATTTCTGAACATCTTTCAAACTCCAAGCCAAAGCTTTCCTGGATACTACAGCCTACAGGGATCTCCTCCATCCCTGAATTCCTTTACTAGGCATATAGTGATCTGTCCCGCAATCTAGCACACAGTCACATCCCACCTTATCTTTTGTTTAACTATTTTACGTATCAGTAGCTTTTGTCCTTAAGTAAGCTATAAGCTCCCAGAGAGCTGTGCAAATCAATGTCCTGGCTGCCTAACAGACTGGGAAGAACATTACCCTGGGGAACAAGAGTCCAAGTTTTCAGTCTTGTGCACCAAGTAGCTGTGAGACAATCGTTTAGTGTCTTTGTAAAATGAGGAAGTTAGACTAGATAGCATCCAAGAATTCCTCTAGCAAGAGATAGTAGAAAGAGAATGAAATCAGAGTCAAGCATTCACTCATTCATCCCACATATAGTTCTTGAGTGTCCACTATGTACCATGCACTCTGCAGGGACACAGACATGGTTTGATTTGTTTTCTTCTGTTACTGACTGTGTGCCTTGGGAAAATCATTTAAATTTCACGGGGCCACAGGTTATTTGTAAAATGGGAGTCGTAACTTTTACCTCGCAGTGGTTGTAAGGAGCGAGATAAAACACAGCATAAGGGACGCAGTAAACACCACGCACTCCACCTTTGATAGGCCCTGACTGAGGGGAAAAAACATTCCTGCAGCATCGTCTCTATCAACTGCCGCAACAAGATGTGGTTTTGAACCCTTAAAGCACACTGTGCTTCTTCACAGAACTCACCATTCCGCTTGGTGCGGCCATATTGCCTGCCTGCTTTCCCTGCGCACAGCGCGAACCCGTACCAGCCCCGATCCCGCTGCCTTCCGGACAGTCAGTGTAGGTTAGTACTTAAGGATCTGGAAGCGGGAGAACTCTCGCCTTTGTTTCAACTGCTCACTGTTTAAGGCTAAGGTATGTGCAGCTCTCAGGACTGGGCACAGGGGCTCAGGTGGTAAGAAAAGGCCCCTGCCCTCAACAGAAGCTCACAAGCTGCCTAGGGAGGCTGCTTCAGAGGATCACAGTGCACGTAGGAAAGCCATAGGAACATACGACGATTAGTCCAGGGTGAAGTGGGCAAAGCTTTGGTCGGAATTTTGAAGTTTAGGGAGGGGCTGTTCAGGTGGGGACAGGCATCCAGGCCGAGGCGGGCGCCCAAGGCAAGAAACCGGAGTGAAACTTGGATGCAGGGGGAGGCAGTCGCACGAGGCCCCTGGGCAGGCTGAGGCCAAGTTGTAGCAAATGCCAAGGCGTTCATCCCGTGGTCAAAAGGGGGCTGCTGAAGGCTGGAATGCCGAGCTGGGGGGGCTTAAGGTCTGTGTTTAAAGGACAGCTGGCAGCCATGGACAGGCAGGCCCACGGGCAGCGCGGCCAATAACGAGGAAGCCTGCAGGCCCTGAGCTGTCGCCACAGCTCCAAATCCGCCTTGAGGCCTCTTTCCTCTAGCTGCTTCCTTTCTGCCACTTCCTTCCTCGAGATTCCTTCGCCCCCAGGTGCCCTCTCCCCTTCTTCCCCTCAGGACTCGCCCCTCCTCACAACCGGGGCCAGGGCCCAGGCCCGTGGGGCGCAGGCGCGGCTCTGCGGCGCAGGCGCACCGCGTTGCCGCAGAGCAGGGCGGGGACAGAGGGGTTGGAGGGAGGAGGGTGCTGGTCCCAGGTCCCTACCAGGTGCCCGTAGACGTCGGCAGGCTGGAGGTAGAAGGTGGAGTTGAGCAGCTCTTCCAGCCTGCGCGGAACGTCGTTCTCCCGGTAGTACTCCATCGCCTGCTGCTTCAGCTTCTGCAGCTCCCTAGTGGTCCCACAGCTGCGGCCGCCGCCTTCTTCCCCCATGGTAGGAGATTTAAGGCTACAGCGGGGTTTAGCCTGGGGGCCTGCGAGCGTCCTCCCTGTCGCTAGGCAACGCAACGAGATCCTAACCCTAGATCTCGCGAGTTTCCAGCCTTAGGTTCTTCCTGCTACAGAAGTAGCCCCCTGTTCCTGGAGCTGCGAATGGGCCCTGCGCCTTCCTCCCTTTCTCCTCTCCCCCAGGCGCAGGGGCGCAGGGGTTGGGCTTCTAGGCTCCCAAGACTTGCTTTCTCTCGGCTTAGTTTTTCACCACTTACCCGCGATGATTCTCCAGATGGGGAAATAGTTAACGATCCCCTGAAGTGCGTGGGAGCTTTAGCTCTGACTTCCAGCTGGGGTCACGCGCGCCGAGTTCCCCGTGACCCCAGGACTCGGGCCGTCTGGCCATCCCCACCCATCCCCTCCTTCTTCGCGATTAATGAGCTCCTACGGGTTGCGAGGGCGGCCCGTGCCTGCAGGCCCATTCTGATGGGGGAGGAATGTAAGAACTCGGGGTATCCTTGATGAGCTGTGGAGGTGCCAGGAATTCCTTCAGCCTATGTTTGTTAACTACCTGCTCTGAGCCGAGCAGAGTAAGTATACTGTGATGTCCAGGAGAGAAATGGCTGCGCGCTCTCGCCTGGGATGTTAGTGGGGGTGAAATCAACGAAAGGAAAAAACCAATGTGGGCCGAAAAAATTTGGGGTGAACCTTAAGGGATGGTTATGGTTTGGATAGGCCTAAGGGAGGGGGATGATGCAGACAAGACTATGTCCTTGGCTCACTTTCCCTCTTCCAGAATGCTGCCTACGTCCTGCCTTTATAAATCCAAAGTGCTTGCCTGGCTTCATTACACCTGCCAGGTGTCGTATGCAATTTTAGAATTTCTTAACGTGCACTCTCTACTCTAGATACTTGTACTGCTGCAGGAATGGGCCGAGATGGACAGGGTGTTCTTCTGCTTATGCCTGTTTATGTTCCTGACCTAAGTAGATCACTTAAAGATCTGTGCTGCGCTTTGCTCCTCTGGAAAACATAACCTTACCTACTCTCTGCCTGCTTCACAAGCCACTTAGGATAAAATGAGAACGTGAGAAAGCACTTTGAAACAAGATAGTTATTTTCAATAGATGCACGTATGGATGTAGGCATATAAAAATATGTGAAGTACTGTTATACATACGCTAACATATAAAGAAGTATAAAAACACTATATAGAGATCCCCGTCTTTACAAAAAATAAAAAAAAAAAATTAGCTGGGTGTGGTGGCATGCGTCTGTACTCCTAGCTACTCAGGGAGCTGAGGCAGGAGGATCCCTTGAGCCCAGGAATTGAGGTTGCAATGAGCTATAATTGTGCCACTACATTCCAGCCTGGGTGATAGAATGAGATCCTGTCTGAAAAAACAAAACAAAACAAAAAACAACCTATAGAAGTACTGTTATACAAACCCAGACATGTACCTCCCTCTGAATTTTCCTCTGTTTTTGCTGGATCTCTGGAATGTCTCTCAGTGGGTGTGTGATAGATCATCACGGGCCTGCCTTACCCTCTGTGCTAAATGGAAATCGCTTGACAGTAGGAGCTGAGTCAGAGTCATCCCCACATCCACTGCAGGGCAGAGGGCCATGTAGGGCAGAGTATGTGCTCTACTGAATAAGTATTGAGTGAACCTTTATATTAATACAAAATAAGCTGATGCTATTGCTGTTGTTTCCATTCCACCCTTGTGCCTTTCCTCATATCCCCTTGGAGGGAAGGCGCCCACTTTTTGAACACACATCTTTGCATGCCCGGGTTGAGTCCCACATTTTCAGAGAAGAAATGCTCCACGGTCCAGCTGCCTCTGACCAGCCCTTCCTTTCTTCTGAAGTTCTTCCCCACTTGCAGCCTGGGTTGCATCAGCCCTCAGGGATGTCTTGATTCATTTGGAATTTTAATGGAAGGTCGAAATTATCCTGGGCTGGGATCACAATCTCTCAGAGTCTCCCATGTAACCCACTGGCCTCTAAGTTCCATGAGAACAGGGACTTGGTCTGCCTTGTTCACTGCGGTGTCTGCAGCATCAGTATATTACCCAATAGAATAGGTGCTCAGTAAATATTTGTTGAATGAATGTATGGGTTTTATACATAATAAATGGTTAATAAATACTTAAAATCAAATGTTTTGGAGTTGGGTGAATAATGAGTACACCAGCCTGGCTGGAGCAGAGGGTTTATTTTCAGGAATAATGAGAAATAAGGATGGAAAAGTAGTCTGAGGTGAGATTGTGAAGGGACTGGAATCCCATTCTGAAAGAGAGGGAGGAGAGGAAGGCAACCACAGATTTCTGAATAGAGGAAGGGCACGATGGAAGAGGTTAAAGTAGTGGAAGTGTATGTAAGGCCCTGAACACTAATGGCAGCAATGGGAAGAGATGAAGAGAGGATAGGAAGGGATGATGCAGAAGGCTTTGAGTGATTGGATATGGGGCCGGTGAAGCAAAGATGACTTCTGAGGTAACCTGTTACAGTTGACAGAAATGGGGTCAGTGAGTCATCTGGTTATGGAGGGAACGCGAGGCATTGGGTTTTAGACGCACAGAGCCTGAGGAGCACTGGTATCCCAGAGAAGAGCGAGGACTGAAGATACAGGTAGAAGACATCCACATAGAATTTAAAGTTGAAGTAAGAACAGACAAATTCTCTAAAGGGAAAAGGGGGAAAATCTTGAAGTAAGGACCTAAATATTGGGGAAGGAATATATTTCAGACATAGGAGGAGGGCAAGGAGCTACAACAGGAAACAAATGGAAAGGAAAAAAATCCAGATCACAAAGTCTAGGGCAGAGACTTTTGGGACTGTGTGAGGGGTATGTATGTGTGCGTGTGTGTATAGAATAAAGTCTAAAAAGATGTACATCAGCATGTTGTGTTGTCTTGGGGTGACAGAGTGTCATAGGGAGCATTTATTTTCTCCTTTTTATATATTGGTAGTATCTGATTTTCCTAAAATGAATGTATTAGTTATATAACTTTCAAAAATTACGTCAAAAACATTTGAGGGAAGGATGTTGAGTCAAAGGTTACAGGAGGGTTGAAGTCTGAGAAGAGGTTATTAGTAACTCATTTCATCTTCTCAAAACTGTGTAAAGGCAAGAAATTAAACTACCATCCCAGTCTACTTCCGTCACTCACGCAATCAACACATATTCATTGACCGCCCACCATGTGCCAGGCACCGTTCTAGGCTCTGGAGAAAGAGCAGTGAATAACATAGATGACACATTCCTTCTCTTCATAGCTCTTAGGTTCCAGTGGCACTTCAGCAGCACTTACATCCGAGTGAGTCATCGAGAAAATAAACTGAAATCATAGACATGAAAGTATTATGAAAAGTTAGTGTGCTAGGGGTTTAATAGCCTATTGGCGTTGACAGATCCAGAATCAATAAAATGATTATTCATGAATATTCCACTTTCTTATTTTCCATAGATATTAGGAACACTGGGGTTTTAGCTGTAAAATGCACTCACATATATGCAGATTTTATACATACTTTACACATTCCTTGGTGACTGTATTTCCATTTCATATTGAGACTAAATGCCCAAGGGCACTTCCAGACCATCAGAAATTGAGAGGGGTTGAGTGTGTTGCCAACCAAAGGTACCAAACTCATGGTGGGGGGTGAGGATGGGAGGGAAGGAAGGGGAAAGGAGAGGCTCAGAAGAGCCTCGGGAAATGTAGAAAGTTCCAGGAACATGTCCACAGAGAAAGGGTAGGACTGTGCTCTCCTTTGGAAAGAGGAAATGATATTAGAGAGAGAACATAGCCATGACTGCTAACGCCGCCTGAATCCGTGACTGCGCTGGAAGGTGTGTAAGATGTGAGACAAGGGCCGTGTCTGGGAATCAGAAAACCTAGGTTAGAATCTCAGCTCTCCCTAAGATCTTTACCTCATCAGTAAAAGGTTTGGACTAGATCACTGTTTCCTAAGCTTTTTGAATATGTAGACTCCTTTTAACAACAAAAGCAATTGAGGCCTCTTCCCCAGGTAACAGTAGTTATATATAATGACTGTAAATTCAGTAGTACTTTCAAAGGCATTTATATTTTGTTCGTGGAAATTCTGTTCACGTGGAAAGGAATGCACGTATGAGCAAGCCATTGTTCAGTGCTGGGCGTGTGTCTGGCGTGGTGGCCCCTTGCGCAGAGTCCGCAGGCTTCCTGGTAAACTTTGCTGAGAACCCCTGAACCGGGTCTTTGCATTTTAAATTGCTCTTACTTTGTAGCTCTGATTCAAGATAAAATATTAGGACACATTAGTCTATTCCATCCTGCTAATTGAAGGCTCTTCATAGAGGAAATTAACCATTCTGCAGTCTCTGCATTTCAAAAAGAATTTCTAAGCTATGTCAGACATTTCCTAAATGAATGCAGATAAAGAAAATGTATTTGTTCATTTTTCCTTAATCCTATCCAACACCTTTATTTAAACTGGAACTTGTTTGCCATGACTTTGATGTTCAGAAGTGATTATTTAGATGTTATTTTGGGGTTGCTATCAAGTGCTTGTTAATTCTTCTTTCCTGCATTTGACACCTGTGTTGAATATCATTTTTCATAGGGAACTAATGAGCGTGATTGCAGGTGCCTTTAATCATAAGCTGGAGACAGGCTAGATGGAAAATGTTGCCTTCTCCTCATCTAGAAAATGGGAATAATAATGTTAACCGTCCCCACCCAGTTGTCGTGAATGAGAACTATGATTGCCAAGCTAATTGCAAATATAAATACCTGTAAATTAAATGCTAAGTAATAAAAGTAGGAATAATTTGTCTAATAAAAAGGAGAGTTTTTTAAATTTGTTTTTTTTTTCCCTTTACTGATGTCTCCTGGCAATAGTCATTACCACTTTAGTAGTAATAACAACAACAACAAAACCAACCAAAACCACAGCAGCAACTACCTTTGACTGAACACTTTTATATGCCTGGAGCTTTACTTACATCATCCCGTTGAATCTGCAAAACAGCCACAAAAGGTAAGTGATTGGCCCAAGATCACAC